GGAACAAGATGGGATTTAAGGTCCCTTCACACCCAAATCATTCTGGGATTCTGTGAACAGATGGTATCAAATGGCAAAGTTTGTGACAGGTGGAGTGACATCTAGATATTGGAAGTAGAGAAAAGAATAAAGGGCAAATTTCTAGGATACTTCTTGGATTTTCAGTAAAATTATATTAATTGTAAGTGCAGTCAGCACAGGTAGAAACATTGTGGCTAAGTGTCTGAAAGCAAAGTCTCCCATGGTGATGCAGCTGGGCACAAGCTTTTTAAAAATGAATGTGACAATTCTCATTTCCATTACAAGTCCTTCCTTCAAACCCCAACTATTTCAGCAGCTACAGCTGTTTAAAAAGCAAACCAGCCCCCTCTCACACTACACACCCCAACGCTTTCTGACTGCTTGCTTCTCAAATGAAGTGGTAGTGTAAAGACAGCTCTCAGCCACTGTCACAATTTCACTGGTTTTGCCTTCAACAAAAGTGTAGCACAGAGACTCACGGGCCAGGAGCCCAAAGGAATCTCCTCTTGCACTTCCCAGCCCATACTTCAAGGCAGATCAACGTGGCATAATGCAGAGTTGTCCTGTGACAAAAGTTATTACCAAGGAACTCGGTCTTATTGTTCATCCTAATTACCTTGCTTTGATAAATCTTGAGGAGTCACTCACTGCACCACAGCACTCACACTTATGAGTCTAATATTCTTTCTACTGTTAAAACAAATGTCCTCAAGATGGAATCCAGGCTGGAAAAGAGGAAAAACATTATCATTGATAAATGGACACATCCAGTTAATTCAGTCTCAGCAGCAAGACCACTGCTGATAAAATGCTGAGCAAGACATTCCACAATAATTATTTTGTAATGCTGAGCACAGTGTCAAGATCTGCTGTATGGAAATGAGCTCTTGGCTTCCCTTTGCTGTACCTACAAAGTGCTGCAGTGCCTGTAGTTATGAGTATTCTCTAGAACTACCAGCTCTTGGGACTGTAATCCAATTTAATTGATAGCTTTGCTTTCTTCCACCTTGTGCCTCGCTGGAGCATTTTATTAACAAATCTTGGTCTTCCAGCCAAGGGGAAGCAGATTTGGCAGAGGGTACTGAAAGGGGAGGTGTCAGGGTGCCCAGGAACTTTGTGAAGGTTGAATGGATGGGTTTATTGTACCTAATCTGCCTTCGAGCACTGCAGATTAAGTTTAAGGAGAAACAGTAACATTTTGTGGGCTGTCCTGAGATTTTCAGGTGAGTTTAAGGCAGTCTGGCTCTTGGACTGAAACTTGACATAATGTTTAGTTCTTCAAGATTGGCCTTACAAGCCTGTAAGAAAATGGAAGGTGAAACTATCCAACAACTTTGTGATTAAGAAAAAATCAGTCTTAAAAAGACCAAATTTGTTTTTCCTCTCTGGTCTGCTATTTCATCATTTAATCCCACAAAAGCATTTCAGAATTTAACAAGAACTTCCATCTTCTCATCCAATTTGATTGTGAGGATTTGCCTGATACATTTGATGCAAAACAAAGAGTATTTCTATTATCTCACACCAAAGAACACCAAATGGGAGCTGTTCCCTGTGCGAGGTAACACCAACAGGCACAATCAGTGCTCACAAGGCTCTGTGCTGCTTCTCACCCAGGACTGAGAGGTTCATCCACACCATGAGGAGCAACCCCCCAGCATTCCTGAACCTTTGGAAAATCTAGAAATAACAGAAGAGAGAGGGAACAGAAAACTTGTGGTTTTTTCATGAGTTCCTCAACAAACTGGAAAGGAAATTCAAGGTCTCAGATCACAAAATTTTGGCATGGATGTGTCTCCTGGTGTATTTTATGGCTCTGAACCATTTTATTTCTCTGACACAAAAATAGGTAAGGATTAGGTTGGATCATTTTGATACATTATCTGTATTGTTTCTGTAATATTGCTCAGAACAGTTTACCAACAGGAAAGATTTAATCCGGTAATGAAATAATCATTGTTTTAATATAACCTTTCACATAGAACAACAATTACTGTAATTAGCAATTAGTTTTCTGAGGGCTTTAATCATTTAGTATTTGACTCTTGCTTTCATCATTTAATGATTTACAGTAATGAGCTGGAACATCAGTATTTTGTACTGAAATGGCCAAAATAGTTGTCCAGGCATCCTTGCCCTCATGTGACAGATCTCAGATGGCTTGGGGAGAAGTTAGCCAAGAGCAATAGACAATGCCATCACTTCTGCTTCAGTTCTACTGGAAAACAACAACAAAGTGACTGCTGTGCCTTGCAGTCAGGGCTCAGTAGCTCTTGCAGGGCTGTTACTTTGCTGAGATTCTGCCCTTTGTTTGAGTTTTGTTTGACAAATGCTTTATAAATGAGCAGAAGAGGTGGTTTATGTTTCATTAATGAGGCTGATAGTGGTTAATTACTGAAGTTACGTAAACAATCCAATAGCAGATCAAGCCAAACGGGTCATTTATGTAGAGAAGATCCAGCTGGAGTCGATGTGATTTCCTTTAACTATTCGGTTACCAAATGAGTCACAGACATCAGGAATCTCCAGTCCAGATGAACAAGGATTGTGCTGACCTTGAAAACGCATTCTCTCAGCAGGTATGGACCCAGGGAAGCTCTTGCCTCATCTCCCATCAGACCTTGGAGCCAGCTGCCCAATCTCCACGGGGATTTGGCTGCCCAGAGCTCCCAGTCTGCACTGGTGGCAGGGAGGCTGCACAAGTGCTGCAGCAGTGTCCAGGTCAGGCTGCTGTCACCAGATCTGCTCATTTTCCATGGAAAACATGTGTGTCCCTTATTCCCACTTCAGTGCCACTTCTGGATGTTGGCTCGTGGCAGGAACTCCTTCAGCTCCTATTTTCAGGCCGTATCTGTGAGTGACACTTTGTTTACTTACTGCTAGTAAGGCAAGCTTGGAGCCTGCTATTATTTCCTTTGCCACTGAAGTGGCTCTGGGCATGTTACTGACCAGAGACTTCAGCACTGTTTTACAGAATTCATGTAGGTATAGAAAAATAACAGAAAACAGAGCTGGAAGAGAGCTTTCCAAAGTCCTTTGCAAAAAGTCCTCTTTACAAACCAAAGCAACCCAGAGAAAACAATTCTTGAGTTCAATCTGGTTGCCCAAACTGATCTTCAAAACAGCCAGTGGAGAAGATTGTACAAGGAACTTGTTCCAGTGCTATTTTTACCACAGTAATTGCTTTCTCTAGTTTGTAATTTAAATCTCCCTTACTCCTAAATAACCTTTCTGGTTTTTGATTATTTACAAGCATGGAAAAGAGTTTATTTTCCTCTTCTTTGCAGCAGTATTTTAGGTGACTCAAGTGTGCCCTCGAGTCTCCCATTTTTGTCATGCTAAGCTTTGAATAGGAGCAGTGATTTATTAAAATAATGTAAATATCTATATTTACATAAATATATGTATTTAGCCAGTCACCTGGTCTGAATCACTTCATGATTATGCAAAATAATTTCTTTACTACAGTGTGGGAGTTAATTAACCTTGGGCTAATACTTAATTACAGCAATTCATTTCTACTACAACATTTATATAGTTATCACATAAACTTATTTGTATACTGACTTCAGAAACTGAATTTACCCTGAAACCAGCAGGCTTTATAAACTGAGTAGAATGGGGATTTGATGCCTTTTAAAAACCTGGGCTTCAGGCTTAAGTGCCCCAGAGTCAACAGGCTCTAAATACCCACATCCTACAGCTAATTTGAACAGCTTATCAGTAAGGTGCCTTCTATCAGCAAAAATTGCTAAAAATAAAAGTCAGTAGCATTTAAAAGCTAACCACAATATTTCAAAAACCTCTGCTTGTTTTTCCAACTTTCATGAGAAAGGCTGGATGAAAAAGTCAATGGGATATTGTGAAAGAGATACTTCTGTGAAAAAAAATTGTTATATCAATTGTAAAACTTTCAGTTTTACTATTGAAGTTTTTTTGACAACTTGGCAAGTTTCTGTAATGAGGCTGCTTTTACCAGAAAGATGAGTGCTGAGGATAATTAAGCTTAGAACATAATTATCTTCATTTCTGCTGCACAATCACTGTGTTGCAGCCCCCCATCACCACACATGATCAATGCAGGAATCTGAAAACTTAGAAAACTCCATAATATGCTCAAATAACATTTATTAGTCAACGCTGTTTGTTCTTGAAAGACTCAACCATTCCACTCCACAGAGAGAGTTGTAAATGGCACATGGAAATAAGCAGCCTTGGGGCAGCTCTTCTCTGGAGCCCATGGAACAGAAATGTGTCCCTCCTTTCAAGGGTGATGGCTGTTTATCCATGAAAAGCTACTGTCCCAAAAGAGTATTTTAAGTGACTTTGCTGTAAGTTGCCCAACAGGAAATGATATTTTCCTTTTCCCATCTAATTCCATGCAGTATCCAACAGAAGCAGTTTTTCTGAGGTGAATGGAGAACAAATCTTACACAGAAGGCAGGTGAGCTCCTCCTGGAGTGAGGAGATTGCGACCTGCTGGGAGCACTGGAACAGCAGGATACTTAACAAGAAAATTCCCTACCCAAAAGGTCACATCTACCTAGGAAACAATGAAAACACCAAATTGCAATATTAATTTGTTAGAAGTTACTAATAATGGAAATACTTGGGGTTTAAGAATGAAATTTTGCTGAGTTAATGGCAATGTGAACTGAGATTGCCAATGAACTGAGAGTGAGCCAGAAGAGTGTCTGGATCAGAACACGGAGGACAAGGTAAGTGTTTGGTGTTTGGAGGTCCTGGCCTGATCCAGCCTCTCCAAATTAAATTATTATGTCACGTAAAAATCTCCAAATAATACTACTGCAATATTTTCCCCTCTTGGGAACTGAGCATTTTCCATCACCACCCTGACATGTCAACGCGAAGCAACCAAAATGGGAGAAATTCAAATTCTAGCAGGAAAGCAGAGTGCTAGTGCTGGGCAGGCAGGGCTCTGGGAAGCAGTGACGTGAGGGTCCCCATGGCCCCTGTCCCTGCTGCCCCAGTTGTGCTGTGATTTATGTGGGCTCGCAGCTGCCCTTGCTCCGACCCCAGAGGAGCTGTGTGGGAAGTTGGTGTCTCGGAGCCGCGGCGTGGCTCTGCCGAGTGTCTGGAGCCCGGGCTGTGCACACAAACTGATAAATAGGGAAAGGCCTGCTGGGCTGCAGCTGCAGCAGAGCTGCCACCGCCGCTGCAGCCCCGCGGAGAGGAGCTCCCTGCAGCCACCGTGAGTATTCCATCCCTTCTCTGCATGCTCTCAGTTAGAGATTGCTGCTCGAGCCATACAGCAGTTTGCCATGTGAAAATATTCCTTTTTTCTTCTTTTCTTCCTTTTTTTCTTTCTTTTTAAACATCTGACTAAATGAAACAGCAAACGTGCACTTTTAAAGCTGATATTCTGCTGCCAAGGGTTTGTTCCAACAGTTCTTCATTTGACACACAGAGTGAAGAAAAATGACTTTTAAATTCAGTTATTTATTTCCCTTCCCAAAAGTAGCCAGAAAACTGTGAGTTTCAAACAACCTCTAACCTCTTATTTTAGAATGTGTAAAAATTATGTTTTTGAAATAATTATTAATGGAATAACAACTTTAAAGGAAAATTTCAAGATAATTGCAATGCAGTCCATCAGTGAAATAAGCCAGTTCCTATTATGGTTATTATATGGAATATGATAACCAGGAAGGAACACATTTAATAAGAAGAAAAGTGGAATTTCTTCAAAGAGCAGCTTTGGGGAGCTTCTTGGCACATTAAAACCAGGAGGAACAGAAAAACCTTTAATAATTCGTGTAAGCTGCATACAGGATCAATAAAGTAATCCTACAATTTCCCCTGCAAAATCATTCTGTAATTAAGCAATGATTACTGAAATGCTTGAGTGAAATTGAATAGATCACTGGCATCACACCTACTTGGCACTGATCATGCTCAGTTACTTTGTTTTTTTCCAGTTTTTAGTTTAAATTTTCAGAAATTAAAAAAAAAAAATAAGCTTTGCCTTCCAGCTGCAAGCAAAGTACAGTGATTAAACCCGAGCCTGGAACGTGCTCTGAGTTCCACTACGTGACCACTAACGTGCCCCAAGGTGTGCTAAATAGATGGTGAAGACCTTCAGCTCGAGTTCCTAAAATTCCCTGTAAACAAGAAATTTCCCCATGACTCAACTGTCAAAATATTTACGATAGCAGCTAAAGCACTGTCAGTACCGACCTCTGCAAGGGCTCCCTGCAGCCCTGCTCCATGAAGGATGTTTTGTATCCCAATAAATTTGATAAGTTGATGATATGTTGTTTTATGATATGGGGTTTTATAGCAATAAAAATGATAAACCCCACATCTTTCACCATAAATAGAAATAAATAGACATAAAGTTCAGATTCTAGTCTGAACATGTACATTCTATTTATGGTTCTAATTTACTTTTATCAATCAATTTTTTTTTTCTTTAGTGGATCCCACTTTTGATAAATTGTCAAGTCTTTCAGTTGGGACTAAGAACTAAATTTCTGCATGAGATGGATAACCAAGCCCTTGAATCAATACATTCTGGTTTACACTGAACGTCTGTTGTTCAGAAGATTGGCACTGTCAAAACCAAGCCTGTAAAAGCACAACATTTTCAAACATGTTTAAGCCACCTTGAGTGTAGGTCACCTCTTCCAAAAAGCACCATTCCCCTCACCTGCTCAGGACTTCACATGTGAACATGCCCAGCAGCAGAAGCAGGAACAGCGTGTGCTTTTCACAGGTGACATTTTCTGTCAGCTCAGTCTGTGTGACTCGGGCTCAAGGCTCCCACCCTAAGTGTGTTACTGCTTGGGATGCTACAAAATAAGTGATTCAAATATTCATCTTTTGTTCCCAGATATTTCCACTTTTTAGGCTAATGACCTTTATGCATTCTCTCTGGGAATGTATTTAGATTTTTGCTTCCTTTTAAAGCGCTCATGTACAAATATGTGCTTATGTTGGGAATACACAGAGAAGAGAAAAAGGGACACAAAACATTTTGCTTTGGGCATGACATGGCTTCAACTGCCCCAAGCCTCCAAAGCCGTTGCTCCATTCTTACTTCAGCTGTGTTCCAGTTACTGTTTTGGACCTGACACCTGGGCATGTCTGGTACCTGTGTCAGGAGCTTTGCCATGCTGGGCACGTGCAGCCCTCCCCTGCCTGGATGAGGTTACTGTGTCTGTGTGGGCTGGGGAAGTGTCCCGTGAGGTCTGAGGGGTTTGGGATGGCCACAGAGCCCTGGGCAGAGCAGCACACGGATCATGGAATCCCAGGGACTGCTGCAGTTTGGAGGAGGCCTCCCTGCTGCTGCCTCACTCACCTCATGACTCTCACAGTCACTCAGAAATAATCAAAACTTGCCTGGCCTAGGAAATGAAGTTCCTTCCTTACATATCTTCTTCTCTTCCTTTTTTTTTTCCCCACTTTTTTTTTGCTTTAAAATTCCAATGCTTTGTTTGATCATAACAAGCTTGTCAACACTAAATTCTCAAATGTCAGAAAATGAAACTCTTAATGCTTACACGTGTCTCATTTTAGGAGAGTAGAGCATTCCTCAGACAACCACTGGATTTACTATTCCCACTCTTCTAACATCCTCTTAATTCTCTTAATTTGAGATTTTACTTTACAAAGTCTCAGTCTAAGCTGGAAATTTTGTAGGTGCAGCTGGTTACTGTTATTAGCCATAAAAATCAGTATGAAGGGCTGAATCCTTTCTCATACAGTAACTAAGATGCTTCCAAGTTTTAGAACGTTTAAGCCATTGACCACCTTAGATTTGGTAGTTCAAGTCATACTGCCAATATACTGCTTTTATTAGAGTGGCTCAGTGTAGTTTTTTTATCTACTATTCAATTATGACTTTTATTTAAAGAAACCACTGGAATTCAGAAACACGTTTCTTCAGCAAACACACATTTTTGGGAAAAAATGTAGACTTTGCTCAGGCCAAATTGATCTAACTGATAAGACCTCATGATTCAGTGACTTATTTTGCTCTCAAACAAATATTTACTAGCAGAGATAACAAACCCCCAGCATTCCAGCCTCACTGCATCCTTTCACCTTCTGCTGACAGCACAAAGTGAAAGTGGTCAGCCCTGAAGCTCTGTGCAGTTTGGGGGAAGGGATGTGTGTTTTTCCAGTCAGGACTTCAGATTCCCTGGGCTGATTCATTCATTGTCTCAGCTGCAGCAAGGTACAAGTATAGCACAAACCCCTTCCTTCAGGGAGGGTCTTCAAACCCAACTTGCTGTAAATTCTGCAGAGAATCCTGTTGAAGGAGTTGGATTTGCTGTTGTTTTCCAAATCCTTCAGTGCCTTTTTCATCTTTTCTATCCTTCCTGTCTGCTCAGGGACAGCCTGGGAGTGGTTTTTGGGCAAATTGTCTCTTACAGCCCCTGCTCAGTGGGCATGAGGCTCAGCAAAAATTTAACCTGTGGCCACATCCCCTCATGCAGAGGGACAAGGAGGCAAGGAAAATATTCCTACTTCCTGCTCTAATGGCTGCTCTGTTAGCTCTCAATTCCAAGCAACACCAGAGGTTTGCTGTAGGTGTGTAAACCCAAACCCAGCTCGGGCTACTGTCCATACAGACTTTTTTTCCCCTAAAACTCTTCAAAGAGTTTTTAAAGCACACATTTTCAGAACTTCTCTAAATTTGAATTTATAAGTCAAATTACTGAAAAATGAGGTAAGTTTTGAGCTCCCAAGCACAGCAGCTCTTCTCACCATGTCACTGTGAGCTCTCAGTGCACTTTATTAGGAATGTCAGTGAATCCACCCAGGAGCCCAGGCTCCTTTAATGACCAAGGGGCAGTGGAAAGCTCTTTAGAGGCAGCACATCCTATAGGAAATCAATATTTTGGTCTTCACTGAAAACTTTACACTGTTAAAGGAACACAGGAAGTGTAATTCTGGCAGTGCTTAAGCAAGGCAAAGTTGAGTTTACTGCATAAATGAGTACTTACATGATGAAGAACAGATATTCCATGCTGGCCTTTCCATGCTATTTTCCTTGCTTCAACTCTGCATAAAAAGTGAATGAAATAAACTCATTAAAAGCCCATCTTTGTGCACAAACAGGACAGCCCCACATATACACCAGAGCAAATGCTCCAATTCATGCCCAAAGCAAGTTTATTCTATCTGTTAAGTTCCTTTTAACCTTCTCTGAATTAGAGAATTTACCATCCAATTCCCCCACATGGTTTTGTATAAAACTCGAGCAAAACATTTCTAACTATAACTTGGAAACTCAGGAAAGAATTTTACCCTGAATCTGTACTAGCAGGACACTCAAACATTTTGTAGTCTCTTTGAGGGTGTTATGTGACTTCACACAGACATCTGATTTTCTTATGGTCTGAAAACTCTGCCATATTCTGGAGTTTTCTGGCTCTGTGTCTAACCTACCCAGCAACTCATGGGATGCTTCCCTTGCTTTCCCCCTTCCCCAGGCTGCTGTTTAAAGGCTGGTCCCACAGCAGAGTGGATGAAGCAGTGCAGCTGGGAGCAGAGCATGGCCAACACGTTTGTCACCGTCCCTGACGGGTACGGCCTTCCCGAGCCCCTCCAGTACTACGGTGAGTAAAACAAGTTTTGTACTCTGGAAATTCAGCAAAATCAACTCCTGGGAGAATTTTATTTTTTTCCCCTTCATTTTAATTTATCTTTAATGCACTTGAAAGCTCTCACCAAGCTCGTGCTGAAAATGTATGGAAATCTATTACTGAGGGAATTTTTTTTTTCATTTTAATTTATCTTTAATGCGCTTGAAAGCTCCTACTGAAAGTGTATAGAAATCTATTGCTGTGTGCTCATACAGATTTTCGAGCACAATGGGATTGTTCTGACTGAGCTTTCCATATAAACATCCCCAGTGCTGTCTCCCTTTGACCTGCATGGAGAAGACACAGGTTTTATTACAGTATTCCAGATACATTATAAATAGATAATGCCTGTTCTATATCTTATGTAACTATAATTGCAATAACTAATTTGATTCTGGAAGACTAAAGGCAGGACCCAAAGCCCACTAAAAGAAAAAAAAAAATCTGTTTTAAAAAATCTTTCCAATTTGTTTTTATAGAGATTTTAATAATCCCAAAGGAAGAATGAAACATGATGCACGTTGCACAGGCTTTCTTTGGTATAGCTGTGTGTATTTAAGGGAGGCTGGATAAAATTAAAACTCAACAGACAGAGAGGCAGGAAGAAACTCTCTTTGTAATTCTGTATCTACATTTTACTAAACTAAAATCTCATTACTGTAAAGACACATGTGGGAAAATACTAAATAAAATAAGTGTGTGCCTTTTACTCCTCTGAAGTTCAGCTTTAAGACCCCTGTCACAGTAATTTTTAGTATTCTCTGATTTCTACACAATTTTTCTCAGACCCTCATGCAACATTTTCAAAATGATGCCTGAGACATGTATCAGTAAGAAACACTTTATTCATTAAGAAATTCACTTGTGGAACATATTTGACTGTAGTGTGGACAATTAATAAAAACGTTTAAGATCTGAAGGCAACTGTGCCATCAGCTGGCAAGCGCTATTTAATTATCTACTAACACTGATCCACATGATACTGCCCAAACTGTTACTGAGCCACTTTTGCTACATTTAACATTTCACTTAAGAACCTTACAGGTTTAAATTTAAACTGAATGTGTCAGATTGCCCCTCTGAAAACGTGTTCCTCTAATATTTATGCTTCTACATCTATAAAACATTTTCAAACTTTGGAGCAGCTGATGTTGAGATATTCCCTGGTTTTTTTCACTGCACTTTCGCTTTCCCCGGAACAGATGTTTTACCGGAGCACATCAACTACCAGCTGCAGGACGCGGATTTCCAGGCTGCCCCGTACTGCCAGTACTCAGCAGTGCCAGTGCCAGTGCCAGTGCCAGCCCTGCCGCCCCAGCCTGGCCCGGCCCCGTACGGCTCCTACAGCCTGGACGCCCCGTACGGCGACGGGCCCTGCGTGGGCAGCAGCTGCGAGCTCAGCAAGGGCCCCTTCCTGCCTGCCCCCGGGGAGGACGGCGGCTACCAGGGGCTCAGGAGGCCCCGGCTGAGCCACCCCGTGAGGCTGAAGGGGCAGGAGGAGCTGTGCGTGGTGTGTGGGGACAAGGCCTCGGGGTACCACTACAACGCGCTCACCTGCGAGGGCTGCAAAGGTGAGCGGGACACCAAGTGCAGCCTTCCACACGCATTTCAGCTGCTGTTACTGCACTGGCTTTTCATTTATCTCATGAACCACCTGTCTAACGAGCTCACTCCAAATTCACGTTTTTAGAACGTTCTTTGAGGAAATACTTTCACAGTCTGTGTTCAATACGAGCACTTTAAGCATCTCATTTTGGCATTGATGACTCGCTAGAATAGTGTCAGTGTAAGCAGGTGCTGGTTTTCACATTAATATTTCTTAGAGATTTATTTCAGTGTTATTAATTACACTTATCATTATAATTGAATAAAAGCAAGTAGTAATTACTTACTAATCATATTTTAACTTGCTGGTATGGGAGCTGTCTCATGAGGGGCAGCTCTGCTCTCTGCTCCCTGTGACCAGGCACAGGACTTGAGGGAAGGGCTGGATTTAGGGAAAAGTTCTATCCCCAGAGGGTGCTGGGCACTGCTCAGGCTGCCCAGGAACGGGCACAGCCCCGAGAGCTCCAGGAGCATTTGAACACTGCTCTCAGTGATGCACAGGCTGGGATTTGGGGGGGTCTGTGCAGGGCCAGGGGATGGACTTGGTGATCTTTGTGGGTCCCTTCCAAATCAGCATATTCTATGATTCCATGTATGGAAAATGTCAATTAATATCAGTCAGAAAGAACCAGACATAACTATATTTTTTAAAAGCAGATGTAAAATCAAGGTAATGTTTCCATTTAAAAAAACCCAACCATTCAATCCTGGAGGACCCTTTTAAATCCTTGTGAGATAAAGCTCCTACGATTGCTCCAGCCATCACCTTGTTATAGATACATATTATAATATTGGCTATTCACAAATGTTAAAATAGATTTTATATGTGTGATGTTAAAGTAACTTTGCTATAAAGATATAGTTTTTATTTCTGTTGTTAATTAAGCTTAGACATAGTAGTGAAATATAAGTATATTGTGTTAAATATATAATATATTTAACACAAGTATAATATAAGTATACTTGTGTTAAAATGCCTACTTGAATAAGATAACATCCAGTGAACATAAGATAAAGACACCTGCTGCAGATCTGCCAACTATCAGAACTCAGCACCTGAAAACATTGTGGACCAAGGTCCAAACTGGAAGTGATAAAGAGAAGGAGCCAAAACCACAGCCAAGAAACACACATGCTCTTAAAAAGCAGACCAAAGAGAAGGCATGTAAAATAGTTCCTGAAAAATGTAAACTAGTTTATAGATATACAAAAGAGTCTATAAATATGCAACAGGCTGATGTAATGGAAAAGGTATTTAAGGTGCATCCCCAAAAATAACAGTGTAGTGTAACTGAGTGCCAAGATGCACCTGGCTGTAACAACCTTTGCTCTGTGGGCCTTGTCTCCTACTGTCCTTTATTAAACGTTCTCAATTTTCACAAGTAAACGTGTTTTCACAAGCTGCTGCTCGTTCCCAGGCTTCTTCCGGCGCAGCATCACCAAGAACGCGGTGTACCGCTGCAAGAGCGGCGGGCACTGCGAGATGGACATGTACATGAGGAGGAAGTGCCAGGAGTGCCGCCTCAAGAAGTGCAGGGCTGTGGGGATGCTGGCAGAATGTGAGTGCTCCTTCCTGCTGCATTCTTGACTAATCGCTGCAGATAAAGCCTTCTCCAAAGTCAATCTCTTCCCTGAGGATAATGGTCTAAGCTTCGTTTGGCTGTAGGAAAATGGGGAAAAAGCTGGGGGTGCTCAGCCTGGAGAAAAGGAGACTCAGGGGTGACCTTATCACTCTGCACAGCTCCTGAAAGGTGGCTGTGCTCAGGTTGGGTTGGTCTCTTTCTCCAGGCAGCACTGACAGAACCAGAGGTCACAGTCTCAAGCTGCACCAATGGAAATAGAGGTTGGATATCATAACAAAGTTTTTCACGCAAAGGGTGATAAAGTTCTCAGTCACCATCCCTGGTGTGTTTAACAAAGCCTGGATGTGGCACTGGGTGCCAGGGTTTTGTTGAGGTGTCAAGGAATGGCTTGGACTCAGTGATCTTGAAGATCTCTTCCAACCTTGTGATTCTGTGATTCTGTGAAAATTAACTTAATTAATGGTGGCACCTTTAGCATCTTGGTGTGCAGAAGCCAGTAATGCTTGGGAAGTGTCCCCTGACCTTAAAAGAACTGTTGTTCAAAAACAGTACAAGGAAAAAAAAAGGAAATACTAGCAAGATAAGCTAAATCTCCCCAGTCTTGTCAGGGCAGCAGTACAATGCTTGGGAAGCTTAAGAGAACTGTTTTTAAAGACAGTACAAGAAAAAAAAGGAAGTACTAGCAAGATAAGCTAAATCTCCCCAGTCTTGTCAGGGCAGCAGTGAGCAGATTAGGGTTTGAGGGAAAAATTTAAATAAAATGGCATGATGGGCTTTGATAAAAAATTCTGATGCCTGTGTGTCACAGAGCCACAAGGACAAAGATGACTGCAGACCCTCAGGCATTTGGGGGCTACTGAACATCAGCTCGCCTGATAAGTAACACACAGGCACACTCTCTAGGAAACATAGCTCATGACAGGTGACAGCTTCTGTGATGCAAGACTGGAGTTATCTCTAATAAAAGCCATGACCTCAGACTGTAATTAATTGAAAATGCAAGCACTGATGGTCACTTCACACCTCCCAGGTTTGCTGACTGAAGTCCAGTGCAAGTCAAAGCGACTCAGGAAGAATTTCAAGCAGAAGAGCAGTTTCCTTTGCAACATAAAGCTGGAAGATGAGGGACTGAATAGTAAGCAAGTATCATCTACAACAAGATCTGGAAAAGTGGGATATTTTTCTATTTAAAATATCTCTTTTTATCACTTATTCTTACTCCAAGTCGTTGTGATTTGATTGGTTTATTTTTTTAGCAGATCCCAGAGAAGATGGAACTCACTCCAGGAGAACATCAGCTTCTTGACCACATTGTAGCAGCACACCAAAAATACACAATTCCCCTTGAGGAAGCCAAGAAGTTTGTAGGTATCCAGCACCTCCAGCCTGCATTGCTGAGTCACTGTTGTCAGGTCTCTTGGCTATATCCAGTGTGCAAATGCTCTTTTTGCAGCTACAGGAAACTGCAAGTCCTGAGGAAAGTTTTCTCCACCTGTCTGAGACAGCTGTTGTCCATGTCCAGGTGTTGGTGGATTTCACAAAAAGACTCCCAGGTGAGTTCCTTCCTTTGGGGAACATTAGAGAAACCAAACCAAACTGATGGCGTGAACCAGAGAAAAACACAGGCTTTAAGAAAAGGCTTTAAACAGATTATTTGTACTTCTAACTTGTCATTTATGTGCATGAGAACAACCTAGAAGCTTTCAGTCCAAAACTTTGCTATGATTAGATTTTTTTTTGCATTTCTGACATGGAATAGAGACATTTTCTTGAAACACATGGACCTCAAAGTAGCACCTTGAGGGAATTACTATCTCACCACATTCTCTGAAATCCAGTGGAGTCTACAATTTATCATAATCACCAAAGGAAAAAACAGATGTTCCTTCAAAGGCAAAGGCAGCACAGAAGGGACTAACCAGGTGTTCTTATTCATATTTTCCTTTCATAGAGAACAAGGGAACATGCAATTAAATTCACTCCGTTTCAGTGTAGAGTTGACAAAGTAATATTTGACAGGGAGGGTGATAACTTTTCTTTGTAAAATGCACTGACAAAGGTCAATCACCACATCTAAAGCAGGTATTTGATGTAATTCAGCATCTCTGTGGGGCAGAGCTGAACGAAGGGATGAGCTGTCTTTTTGCTTGTGTTACACATCCTGCTTTGATCAGGTTTAAGAAAAAAATCACCAAAGTTCCTTTGCTCTTGAATTACAAGTGCAGACAACGAGCTTGTAAAAAGATGAACACAATTTCTAAAAAGAAAATAATATAACAATGAATGGAGTATCCACAATAATTAAATAATAAAATAAATAATAATAAATAAAATAAAATAAATAAATCATAAATTAAATAAAAAAATTAAAAGGTGTTAGGCCTATATTGATCAGATATTAGGAAGAATGTTTTGATAATCTCTTGCTTAATCCCAAATTTTTTACTTGTATCTTCCTGTGAATCTTTTAACACTGAAAACTGCCTCATCTTTGTTTGTTGTTTTTCTTTTTTTTTTTAATCTGCAAACTAGCAAGAAAGATCCCAAATCTTTGGCACATGCATAATTTAACTGTGCTTCCCCCTTTCCAGTAATGATATTTATTTAAAAAAAATAAAAATTCACATCATGTTGGGGGCTTAAAGGCAGCCCCAGCCTTCCCTGATCCTGAACATGCACCTTTCTCTGCAGGGTTTGAGAGTTTAGCCAGTGAGGACCAGATTGCTCTGCTGAAAGGGTCCACAGTGGAGGCAATGTTCCTGAGATCAGCCCAAATTTACAACCAAAGAATGAGCGAGTGCCAGCCATCAACCAGTGAAAGTAGGTCTGAAATACTTGACTTGCATCATTGTGGGGTGAGTGGATGATATCAGCTGTATTAATTACATATTATACATTGTGTCAAATTTAACACAAGAGACCTTGACCAATAAAAACGCAACAAAAGAATCCAGATGCCAAAAAGGATTTTATACCTTTGTGGGTCTGGTAAAAATTCACACATTTTCAGCAATGATACAGACAAATATTTAAGATTGCTTTAAACTTGACTGGGAACTGTCATCTGCTTTGTTCCAGGTCATGTAAGACTTTCTGATCACGGGACATGTTGTCATGTTCAAAGCCTTGATAAAAACAATATTTATTCCATGGAAATGTGTCATAATAAAGAGAGGCCAACTTCTACTACTACCACAGGTAATGGAGGTCTCAGAATCTAAACATTGTGAATTTTTTGCTTTACTGGCCCTACTTTTCTTACACTGAGCTACTCTGTCCCTATGGCCACTGTTCCAGCCTCTTGCTTCTCTCCTACCTCTCCTCTCCCTTTCCTTCTCCTCTCCCTCTCCCTTGAGCAGCTCTGGTATTACACACTGGCATTACATCCTCATGGCAGGAAGAAGTGTCTTCATGCTTGCTTATATCCCTTGAGTAATATACACATTCAAAGCTCCACAGTACAACTGCCATACAGCTTTTGTTATTATTTTAGCAATTAACATTGTTTTCACAAAGTTAGTTAACTATTTCATGCAATGGGACAGCCCCAAGCCTTAAAAGATTCAAAGAATCACAGAATCATGGTGAGGTTGGAAGGGATCACAGTCACCTGGTGCCACCTCCCTGCTCCAGCAGGGTCATCCCAGAGCACATGGCACCGGCTCATTTCCAGATGGGTCTGGAATATCTACATTTAGGGAGGCTCCACACCCTTTCTGGGCAATCTGTTCCCCCACAGGAAAGTTTTCCCTCATGTTCAGGTGGAACTTGCTGAGCATCAGTCCGTGCCCATTGCTCTGGTGCCACTGCTGGTCCCTGCTCTCCCTGCACACAGGGACACCCAGGGCTGAGGGCCCCTCTCAGCTGGGGCTCCTCTGGAGGCGGAACAGCCCCAGCTCCCTCAGCCTTCCACAGAACCATGGAATCATTTAGTTTGGAAAAGACCTCTAAGATCACAGAGTCCAACCATTCACCATTTCCTCGTAAGAGAGATGCCCCAGTCCCCTCCTGAGCTGCACAGCCTCGGCAGGATCTGCTCCAGGAGCCCCATGTCCCTTGTCCTGGGGAGCGCAGAGCCAGACACGGCGATCCAATGGACCCAGGGAGGGTCACATCCCACCCTTCAGGCAACGATTTGAAACTGTTTCTGCACTGAAGTAACATCCTCATTATCCAGCACGTTTGTTGGTGGGGGGGGGTTTTTGTGGGGTTTTTTTTTGGTTTTTTTTTGGTTTTTTGGTTTTGTTTTTTTTTTGTTTATGTTTTTTGGGGTTTTTTTGTGTGTGTGGTTTTTTTTTTTTTTTTTTTTGGTTTGGTTTGGTTTGGTGTTTTTTAACCAAAAAATGTTGGTTTTTTTCCATTTTCAAGGCATAACTGAGGAGTTCATCACCGCCCTGTTCTACTTCTACAGAACCATGGGGGAACTCAAAGTGACCGAGACCGAATACGCTCTGCTCGTAGCAACAACAGTGTTCTTTTCAGGTAAGCTGGGAAGGTGACAACAACGAGCTGTCACTTGCCCCGGGGAAGCTCCCATTTGTCCCCTCAGGGGCGGACCCTGAGGGGCCACCCCGCTCACCGCTCTCTCCGTGCCGCCGCTCTCCCGCAGACCGCCCGCTGCTGAGGGACAAGCGCCACGTGGAGGAGCTGCAGGAGCCGCTGCTGGGGATCCTGTACAAGCACTCGAAGCTGCAGCACCCGCGGGACCCGCAGCGCTTCGCGCGGCTGCTGGGGCGCCTCACGGAGCTGCGCTCGCTGCGCCACGCCCACGCGGGGGCGCTGCGCGCGCGGGACCCGCGCCTGGCCGCGCCGCTGCGCGACCTCTGGGACCTCCACTAGGCGGCGCCAACGCCGCCGGCCCGCGCGCCCCTTCCCGCCTCGGGCGCGCGCCGCCCTTTCCCGCCCTTTTCGCCCTCCCTCAGCGGCCGCCGGGAGGTGCCGGTGCCGGTGTGGGTACAAGTGTTGGTACCAGTGCCAGTGCTGGCATCGGTTTGGGTGCCACGCTCAGTGCCGGTGACAGTGCTGGTGTTGATGTCAGTGCCGGTGCCGGTGTGGGCACAAGTGTTGGTACCAGTGCCGGTGCTGGCATCGGTTTGGGTGCCACGCTCAGTGCCGGTGACAGTGCTGGTGTTGATGTCAGTGCCGGTGTCGCTGTCGGCACAAGTGTTGGTACCAGTGCCGGTGCCGGTATCGATTTGGGTGCCACTGTCAGTGCTGGTGTCGATGTCGGTGCCGACGTTACTGTCGGTGTAGGTGGTGGCGGTGCTGTCGGTGTCAGTACAAGTGTTGGCGTCGGTACCAGTGCCGGTATCGGTTTGGGTGCAGTGCTCAGTGCCGGTGTCAGTGCTGCTGCTGATGTTGCTGCCAGGGCTGGTGCTGGTTGTTGCTGCTGGTGTCAGTGTCAGTGTCGGTACCGGTGCTGGTATTGGTACCAGTGGTGATGTCAGTGCCGCTACCAAGTGCTGGTGTCACCGCTTTTCTCCAGACCCACCAAGAAAAAGCCCGTTCAAACCGCTCATGTGGCAGCCCCCGAGCGCCAGGCAGGGCCCGTGGCCAAAGCCCGCTGAGCTCTCGGGCCATGGGGCTGTGTCAGGTCAGTGGTGCCACCGGCCGCCCCGGGCCTGGCTGCAGTGGGCAGGGGACACCCACAGGGACACTGCTGGGAGCCCCCGGGCAGAGTCCTGACCCGAGCACACACAGCCCAGCCTGGCCTGGGAAGCGTTCAAGGCCAGGCTGGAGCAGACTTGGAGCAAGCAGGGACAGTGGGAAGTGGATGAGCTTCAAGGTCCCTTCCAGCCCAGCCCATTCCATGGATGGAGCAAGGTGGGATAGTGGAAAGTGTTCCTGCCCATGGCAGGGGTGGCACTGGATGAGCTTCAAGGTCCCTTCCAGCCCAGCCCATTCCATGGTTCTGTGCGCGTGTGAAATTCGCTGAAGTCATTTCTCTGCAGACTGCCAAGACTGGTGCTGGAAGGAACATCTCTGACTTTATTTCAAAGACTTCTGCTGTTATTCTCTGTCAAGACTGAAGGAAATCGTCTTCTCAATCATCTGCTCTGTGTTGTAGCTGCACATCACCGATGATAAATCCACATTTGATGTGGGTGATCCACAGTGAGCAGTGCCCTGCTTGGATGCTTGCACTGGCTTTGAAGTCCTGCTTACACCAGACCAAATGTGCAGTGAAAACGTTCTGTCACCACACTGAGTTATGTGAAATAAACAAATTATTGTTTCATGTTGAGGTTCCTTACGGAATATGTTTAGATTCAAATGTGATATTCTAACAGGAGACGAGTTACACTATTTATCCTATTTTTTTGTGACTTGAAAACCTTGTAAAATGGCATTTTCATACTAAAACATGGTCACATGTGGTGTTTAAAACTACCAGTGGGAGTAAAGAAAAAAATAAATATCAACTACTGGACTTTAAAGAAATAATTTTGCTTTGTGAATCCTTTGTCATGCACCTGTGCACAGACAAACAGCAGCTGATGAATTCTCCTCATCAAAACCTTCCCTCTGGCCACAGCCTATAAAGCAAACTGCAAAACACCAGTGGTTTGAAAAGCCACTGTGAAGTATGAAGCAAGTGAGTTCCAAAGCCATTACCAATTCTGGTAATTTCAAAAACTGCAGGCAGTTGATTTATTAATTTAAAATAGTATTTTCACATTAGCTGTAATTTTTATTTCTTCTGGATTTTATAATCCTTTACAAATCTACCCATAGGAAAATAACTCTTAAGTTTGTGCAGAGTTTTAACAAATGCCCAGGTGATAATTTTACTTTGCCATTCAGTTCCTGTACTGTGGTAAAATCACCGCTTCAGGTAAAACTCAAATAAATTTTACCTTACACATTGTTTAACATTTTTTAATATTGTCTATTTTAACATTCATGAGTAGTCTAACAGTTTATTAGCTGTTAATGTTAAACACAGTTTCACTGTTAGTTTTTTTAAAAATATGTTGACCAAAATCACTTCATAGTTCAGATACAGGGCTGGTGTGAAGAGACATTATGTTAAATTGTAAAGATCATTATGTCGTTAATCCTTAGGCCCACGAAGTTTGTGCATTCCTGTGACACACATTATGGAGTTTTTCTCTCTTTTAGAAGCACTATTTCGAGATTTCAAGGAAACCTGTAGTCACTTCACAGAGAAGTCCAGCAAATATAAATGCTCTTCAATTCTGCTTTTAATTCTGATGGAATTTGTGTTTTGATTTTGGAGAACTTTCCAAAGACTTGATCAATATTTGGCTGGGAGCAACCACCTTATTTTACTTGACTGTCTGCTTATCAGACACAGGCACAAATGAAAGTAGAATCTGTCCTTTTCTCTTCATTATCATATTATTCTCATTCTGTTACATTTCAGCTCTGGCCATGCAGAGTGATGAAAAAGATGATTTAAGAGGAGACATCAAAGCTCAGCTGCAGGACTCACAAAATCAGTTTGCTGACTTAAAAGAATCAAAATTAAGAGTTCACTTTGCTATAGTAAAAAATATTTGCTTACAGAGGTACAGAAAACAGGATCATTATTATTTTACTCTGTTACTAGTCAGCAGCAGAATTTTGGGGCATTGCAGGCCTTATTTTTGTCTGGAACAAACAAATGATCAGGATCTGGCAGGGTAGCTTTGAGGATAACTCAAGCAGTGAGAACTTTTGAAGATTACGTGAGGAAAAGACATTACTTGAGTTTTGCACATTTACAGTCAGGTTCCACTGAGGAAATTTACTTTTCAGAACCTGATTTTCAATATTTTAAGCAATTTATACTAAAAATATTTATAGAATATAATGCAAGTATGTTTGATCTTTGTTAAAAATCTACAAATATATGTAACACTACTTTTTTTGGTAAACATCCTATTTTTCTTAAATATAAAGCTGAATTGAAAATCCAGTTCAGAAAAGACAAATCCTGAGCATTTACCTCTTCTATTCTGTCACACCCGGGGCAGAGTTTTACCTTTAGCATTATCATGATGCTGGGCTGGTACTGTTCATCCTCGACAATACTGCACGAGGCTCTGGATTGTCTTTGGTGCTGATTTGTTGTTTTTTTGTTTAGCTTTGCCCTCAGCACAGTGATTGTGTATCTCAGACTAACAGAAATATCTAGCACTTTCCAAAGAAATGAAACCAAATCCAAAGGGCTCTATCATCTGAACCAAACAGCAAACAGGATTATGAAGTATTTTCAGACCATAAATGGAAATTGCTGGCATATGATATGCAACAAAGAGATTTGCTGTTTTAATCTGTGGTTGATAGGAAATGCTGCAGCTAATCCTAGGAAAGAAAGAGAAGAGCAGACTGTGAATCTATAAATTTGAGAGATGAGAGCTGTGTTTTGGGCTGTTACAGACACTGGCAAGAGGCAGACTAGCTTTGAAAATTCAGCAGCCACAGGCTGTTTAAATGCAAAACCTGGCAAAACCACTTGTTTCTATGGCAGCATATCAGGATCTTATTTCCTTTTATCAGTGGAGGGCTGCAACTGGATAGAGTTGGAAATAATTCCTCTACCAGAATACTCATCTTTCAGAATCTGATTTGTTTTGTCTGTTTTTCAGCAGCAGAGCTTCCAATTATTGGTTGTTTGCAAGTGTGGACATGTTTTTACTTTACTATCTACAGTTGCATATTTCGTGGAAATAAGAGTGGCCCTGTGCTGTAACCTGCTCATGAGATCACAAAGTTTTCTTTGTGTTGTACCACTACCAGGGGCAGAGTGAGTAGGAATAATGTCTGATAACTTCTCATTGTTCCTCCTTTTGTTTTTGGAACTGGTCAGTGACAGAGAATCCTATTAAATTACTGTTACATATGAGCTTCTGGTATGCACTGAATTTCTGCAGCCCTCCACAGAGACTCCTGGGGAATGAACCCAAGGTTTTTATAATTACTAAATTCTATTTACAGATATCACTTGAAGCACTTCCTGGAGAACATCAGCACACCATCATTCACTTAATGAAAGAGTAAAATCACTGATGTCAGGGAATGGATTGGTTTGGTTAACAGAAAGGTTAAAGATAAATAATTAACAGTGTAACTGGCTGTTCCAGAACAGGGCTGCAAAGCTGGGCTATAAAAGCACATTAAAAATTTCTATCACTGAGTCTCTGCAGGTCAGCAGGAGGGCAACCAAAGAAACAGATCCATAAGCACCAGACTGGGGATGATGGATTTTAGGAAGCTGTATGGGAGAAGCCTCAGGCAGTCACAAATTGTGACACTGGACTTTGTTGTCCTGCCACAGTCTTTGTTCTTGCTGCTCGCTGTAGCTCGTGGGATCTCACTCCCATCAGAGAGGCCAGCAGTGAATGTTCCATGGTCACAGCCGTAAGGACAACCCAGGAGGTTTTTTACCAGCTTGACAGTTTGTGTAAATGACTGAAGATACCTGAATGCCACCCTTCTGATGGGCAGGATGATGGTGCCCGCAAGGGGAAAGCAGCAGCCAGGAGCTTCTGTGACCATATCAGCGTGGGGCTGAGCTGATAAGCAGCACTCACACTGGTCCCAGGCTCCACTCTGAGTCATTTCTTGCCCTGATAATTGCCAGCATTCAGTATCCCCACACGGGATGACAGCTCTGATCCTTCCTGACAGGAGGGCTCTGCACACGTGGAACCAAACACATTGCATCTGTGCAATTGCCTTAACAACCAAATTTGTAATCACTGCAAACAATGAAATTGGGTTTGTGTGGCATGACCTATTTTATGTAACATCAGTAATTACGTGCTCATCCGTTAATTCTTTATTGCTCAAATCCTGTATCAATTTTCTGTTATTTTACCTGGCTGGTGGAGAGTTACCTGGGTCAACACTTTTTCCTTAAATATTGCCATTATATTAACACTTTCTTTGAATGTTTGGAAATTTTCTCAGTATTCCAGATTTCTTGTAATGAGCATTAGCTAGCTAATCATGTTGAGTTTAAAGTATTTATTCCTTATATGATTTATTTAATAATTTTTGTTGCAGATCTGTGTGTGGTTGTTCAGTCACTATGTTTACAAAAGCACTACTTGCTGAAGCCTTTGCACTTACCCTGCATCAACAGCTTGTCTTCATCTTGTAATATTCCCTGACTTTATTATTGGCCTCTGGCCTCCAGAAGTTTATTTCCTACTCTTCAGTTTCCTGTGCAAGTTTTCTGCATTTTCTCACCTCTAACAGATATTGTTGTTGGTTTTCCTCTAATTTTGTTGCTATAGTTTTTATTGTTGCACTCTCTTTTTCATCTTTATTATGACTTTCAAGCCTTGTTACAATTTGCTACTGATGTTTGCAGACATTTCCCTAAATCTTGTTAAGGCAAATTCTTAAACTTTTTTTTTCTTAACCTAACATCCCCCTCCATCTCACACCCAGTTTTCTCAGCTCAGAGAAATTGGCAGTTTGAGGGAGCAAAGAGCACATATCCTCACACTCTGACCTGTTCTCTGCCTATGTTCTTACAGGGGGTGTTGGACACTTTAAACCTGGCTGTGGTGGTCTCCAGGGTGCACAAATGCAGCTCCCACTGCCTAAAGCTGTGACTTTAGAGGAAAGAATCGCCTGTGCATGCAAGGGCCATGTGATATTTTTGGTTTAAGAATGCTGAGTTTTAATTCTTACTTTGAGCATTTATTTGTCCTCTCCAGGTTTTAGTTTTATGCATTTTTTCAGCTTCTTTGTGTCCTTTGAAATACTCTCTGTATTTCCCAAGAACAAACATTCTTTTCTGTGGTTAAAGCTTCAAACGACCAAGCCCATACACGTTTCTGTAGTGTGTGTGTACAGTGTATACATACACATTTACATTATCTGTGTGGGGTTGTGTGGTGTATACTGAGAGAACCTGAGTGTTTGTATTCCAAATAGATCAGAAAAATACAGAGTTAATAACATACTGGAGTAGTAGCAAAGTGAGTGTTACTCTCCTGTTGCTAAGTGAGATGGACAGATGTTACAAAGAGTACAATTAATACTCTGCTGATGTCCCTAAGCCAGAAAGAGGTTTAAACAGAATTAAATTATATTTAATTCCTGAGAAATTATAGGGTAGAAATTAACCCAGAATTAAAGACTCCATGAAAACAGAAAGCATTTGGCTAGTCTTAATTGAACAAAACCTCTATTATATTATCCTAAAAATGCTTGAAAAATTAGCCCAGGACACAGACCTGTGTGCAGCAGTCTGAAACCACAGGAAAAGGAGACACTATTGTGCAGGAATTAGCTGAACACCAATTGGGACCAATTGGATTGCTCCTCCAACAGCTCAAAGTGACATTATTTACCACCCCAAACTCATGTTTTCCGTGTTTCTGATGGCTATGTAAGTCAGGAATGTGGCTGACCTGCATAAGACATCCATCAGATCAGATTCCAAACAGGAGTGAGGTGATGGCCGGGA